AAATCTTACATTGATGTCTGCCATAGCTTTTGATTAGTAGGAATTTTAAGTGTGTTGTGAAAAGTCATTAATGACAGTATCAGGGGGTAGGGCAGGAGAATTCCAATTTTAGATGAGTCTGGGCTGCAAAATGAACCCAAGACCAGCGTGGGCTACACAGGAAGGCTCTGTCTATAAAAAACAAGGACAGAGAATATAGCTCAGTGATAGGATATCTCAGTGGAATGTGTGCTGAAAACTATAAATAGAATATCAACAAACAAAAACCAACTGTAATGGACAGCTACCAGAGAGAGGTTTGTGAGCGCATTAGCTCATTGGTGTAGGTTTTGTCATTTATTTTGATGAACTTAAAGGAACAAGTTTGGTAGAGTTGAATTGGAAGTGCTGGGCCCAACATTCCTGCTTTGTATGTGGTGATGTCAATATGCGTTCCTTTAGCAAGCCTTCATTTTTATTTTCTGTAAACCTTTTACCATGTAGATGTCAGTCCCCTCTGTGTCATGGTTTTGACAGAGCTGGAGTACAGTCCTCGAGGTAACTGGCTTGCCTATTTTCATCTTTATTTTCCCAGGATTATATCTATTGCATGTTTTTATTTTCAAGTAAAACCTCTAAAAACAGAGGTTTTGTGGTTTATTTAGAAACACCCTGAAAATATTTTCTTTGGTGAAATAAATCAGTTTTGTGTGGTTTGCTTCAATCTAAAGACACTCTGAATTTTGGTTTAAAGCCTACCCATGAATTGTTCTGAGCACTGTCCAGTGCCTGGTAGTGGCTTCAATTACTCTACCCAGCAACTTTTTAAGAAGGAGACCCCTAGTTCCTTGTCCCTTATCTTCCTTGTAAACAAATTAACTCAGAGTGTTTGTACAAAGTCACACGACCAGCAAGTGGTAGAGAGGGAAGTTTTTGCTCCCAGAATCCTATCAAAATAAGTGAAGAAGATACTGAGTGGCTTTTGGACATTCCACAAGAAAAGAGGAATGTTTGCTAGTTACTAGTTAACCAGAAAATGAACAGACCATGCTCTCCACAGAGTCTCAAATAGGCCAAACTCAAGCTGTTAGTGAAAACATTACAAATATTTACTTGAAGACTTATGAGGAAAATTCTCTGGTCTCAGAAGTCCAGAGGAGCATTTGTTTCTGTTTGCAAGGAGTGCTCTATTTGCAGAGGGAACATTCAGAGCCTATTGCTTGAAAGACTAATCGTCACAGAGGACAGCTGACGAAGTGACCCCAGACCAGATGCTCCTGAGGCACAGATAGCACAAAAAGAACCAGCGTGAAGATTTCTCAGGGAAAGGTGGCCAGGCAGAAATGTCCTGTTGTAGGTGTGCCATTTGAAGAGGGTAGACATGAGCTTCACTCATCATTTTATTCACTGTTTAGAGATGGTGTTAGGCCTCAGGGTAAAGAACTCTTTGCTTCGATTGGCTCCGGAACTGTATAAGTTGGATGCCTGATGTGTGGTGCAAACTGGTGCCTGAAGGGTCCTGGTGTCCAAAAGGACACAGAAAAGCAGCCTTAAAATGTAAGGGTATACACATGATGACAACAAAAGATCTGCTTAGGTGACAGCAATGCCGAATGGACACTGTTCTAGCAAGTGTGTGTAGCTTGGTGGCACAGAGGGGAGATACAATGACCCATGGAGCCATACAGATGTGAAATCAAACCCTACCTCCACCATTTCCTTGCCTGCTGACCATACTACTCCAGGTATAACACAGTTCAAGAAAGTCAACTGTCAGCTTGATGCACTTGGGACTGACGGAGTGACATGATCTAGCAAGGGACTGCGTGACCCACCTTGTACCAGTGCATTGAAGAAATACTCTACAGGGATGGGAGTTGCTTCTTTGTTTGAGAGATGATTCAAGAAGACCCAACTGATCATTTTGGATACTTCATTAATAGTCCATGTTTGTTTCCATGCCAGGCTGGTCTGATCAGCCATTTTCTCCTTGCCTGCTTGCTTATTTTCCTCAAATATTGAGACCCCTTCTCATGGGACAGTGGGACTGGCTGCTGGTTTACTACAGTGACATGAAAGCTATGGATGCCCCCCAAACCATCTCCAAACTCACACACATAGAAACTGAGGAACAATAATAAAGATTGCCCGCCACTCGGTTGTGTGTGTGCCTATGTGTGTGGTGTTTGCAGGCATGCAAGGGTGTTCCTGTAAGTTGAGGCCCGAGTTTGATGTTAGGAGTCTTGTTCTGATAGCTCTTCCACCTTATACTTTGAGGCAGAGGTTTTTGTTTGTTTGTTTGTTTGTTTCTATACAGTTCATGTCACTAGCCAGCTTTCTCTGGAAATGATTATAGGTGGGCTGCCTTGCCCACTTGGCATTTGTATGGATTCTGGTGATCCAAACTCTGATCCTCTTTTGTATTTGGCAAATGCTTTAACTGAGGAACCATCTTCCAGCCATGTTACTGTGTTTTTGTTCTTTTCCTATTTTTTTTTTTTTTTGAGCTAGGTCTCATTACATAGTCCTGACTATGCTGGAGCTCTCTCTGTAGCCTAACTTCAAGCTCATAGAAATCCACCAGCCCCTGTCTTCTGGGTGCTGAGATTAAAGACATGTGACACCACACTTGGCCAGTTAGTGTTTTTCTTTTTAAGCCACTAAATTTGGGATTAATTTATTATACCTCATCAGATAACCAATATTTTTCAATTTCCAATGTCTGTATAAGTTATACTCCTCACTTGCTAACTTTCAATTCACCTGTTCTGTGTTAAAAAAAAATCTTAAAAGTCAAAGCACACGTAAGCTGAAAAAAACATATGAAATAATTAATTTGTGATAATACATACTTATTTTAAAATATTGTCTTTTGTCTCTGGTTTACCCTTGTGGCCTGAACACCATATGTAATACTTAATGCTTAGTAAAATATTAACTAAACATAATTGAATGAATGAGTTTGCTTTCCCACGCTCTCTGATTCAATTCTGGAGCCCAAACCATATTTTATTCATCTTTGTATTTCTCTCACACAGTACACAGCTTAACACTGAACATGTACCATTCACTCTGTTGAATTACATTGAACTTAACTGAAATTCTTGTTGAAGTAAATGTTCTGGAAATCCGAGTTAAAAGTCATGGTGGAACACTCATTTTGAACATTCATATTGTTGACTAGGGCTGGATTTCAAGTTACATCAATACATCACACACATGCCCCAAACCCAACCCAACAAATTAAAAAACCCAATAAAAACCAAAGCAAAGAACCCTGTCCCCACCCGACACATAAACCTTATCATCTACTGCCAGCAAGTGGCACACTCTGTGGATCTCTCTCTCTCTCTCTCTCTCTCTCTCTGTTTTATGGGCACACGTGCATGAGGAAGCCAGAGCTCTGTGTCCAGCATCTTTCTCAGCTGTGCTCTATCTTAATTTTTGAGGCATGGTCTCACTTGAGCCTGGAGCTCACAGATTCATGTAGACTGGCTGGCCGCCAAGCTCTGCCAGTCTTTCCGCCTCTGCCACCACCATGCCGCCTGGAATTCTTCCACAGGTTCTGGGGATACAAACTTAGGGCCTCCTTCTTTTTGGCAAGCCCTTTCCCCACTGAGCCATGTTCCCAGCCCCTAGGTTTTCCACTTTCTGCTAATAGACTACGCCTTAAAATGTTTCTACAGGCTCTTTACACAGCCATAGCAGCGACTGTACTTAGGCTGTGGACTATCAGGCCTTGACCTCGGTGGTTATCTGCAGCGGCTGGGTGGCCTGTTTTCCTTAGCCAGGGACGTCTTAGGCCCTTTCAATAGAGCTGAATCTAATGAGCTCAGAGAGTCTGAGAGCTTGCTTATGAGTGCAGTTCTCTCCACATATCTCGGTGATTTGAATGCACAAGCCAGGCTTCCTAGGTATGACCACTTGGGTTTGAATGACTCTTTGGTGACTATGCATGTGGACTTTTTGCCTCACTTTCCTCATTTGGAAAATATTAGTATCTATTCCAAAGGGCTGTGTAAAGATTATCTGGGTTAATCCATGAAGTGCCTGGCATACAATAAGCACTATAATAATATATAACAATATACCATAAGGTACATAATATACTATAAATGAGCTCTCGTTATCTTTTATACTTACCATTGACATTTCAGGAAATGTACAAATCTTTCAGCAAGGAACCATTAAATCCCTGGGGACAGTACTATGTGACTGTCTCTGTCAGGGCTGTTTCTTCTTATTGCAATTGTCTATGATCATGGACGTTTTGACTGTTCATTCCTGTAAAGAAACTTTCAATTAGCTCCAAAAGAGGCAGTAAAATATGGTTTGCATGCTGCAGACAGTTATTTTCAACTCATTACACTGGACTGGGGACTATACAATAGTACACTTTGGAGTAAGGGTTTTTTTTTCTTTTCATTTTAATCTTTTCATATATATGCATGCATATGACAGGAAGTCATCAAGGACAGAGAGAAGTGCCGAGTTTCAGAATTCCGGGCTGTTGGGATCCTAGATAGTTAGACTATTCTAACTTGCAAGCTTCCAACTTCTCCCCGTGGACTGTGGGTAATTCCTGAGTATGGGGTCAGAAGGGCGTCTGGATTATATCACACCTGGCACAGTGCTCAAAGCGTAAAAAGCCAGAAACTATTTCAAAAGTGCACAGAACTAAGAAATAGGTAAACTGGAAAAGTTTGCATCCAACATTCTTTGCATTGCAAACCCTCAGCTTGTTCCTCGGCTTTCGCCTGCATGTGTCCCGTTCTCCACGCATTCTCAAAGCCCAGCTCTAAAGGGCTGGAAACAAACGATCCAGTCGAACCTCTTAGTCACAGGGCCTCCTTCTCTTGTTGCTATGAGGTAGAGAAGACTTAGGAGATGGACTAGTTGCAGAGCAGCGCTCTGAGTGGCCGGGCAGTGACAGCGTCCACTGCCAGGGTCCTGCCTGTTCCGTTAATTGCCCCCGCCCCCGCCCCGACCAGCCTTAAAAAGCTCCAACTTGTAACCAAATCCCCAGTCAGAGCACGGCAGAAAGGACCACGATGGGCTTGGGTGACTACAGCCACTGCCGGCAGCGGATGCCCCGGGGACTCTACGGAGTCTCGGGCAGGGCTGCGCTGTGGTCCCCAGCCTTCCACGCGGTGCACCGCATCCCTTGCGGCACCTGGCGCATCGAGGCGCAAGAGCAGGCCCGGGCGCCTAGCCCGGTGCTGGAGCACCTCCGGAGGCAGCTGGAGCGCGCCTTCCAGCGGGCGGCGGCACGCGGGCGCGCGCGGCGAGCGCGGGAGGCGGTGGCGGCGGTGGTGGCGGCCGCGGCGGCGGCGCGGGAGGAGCGGAGCCGGGCGCGCATGGAGTGCGCCCTGGCTCGGCTGCGCGCGGAGCTGGTGAGCGCGGGCTGTGCGGCGGAGGGCCTTGCGCTCCGGAGTCCTGAGCTCTGAAGCTGGAGCCCAGCCCCTAAGAGGTCCCTGAGGGACCCCACGGGCTTGCTGCCGGGGAGGGAGCTAGTTCTCTCCTGGGCACCCATTTCCTCTGGATTCAGTGTTGAGGCCCCCATGAGTCACAGCTCCATGGATTAGGGCTTGGCCCACAGTCCACTGACTGGCCTAGACGCCAGTAGCCCCTCCCCACTCTGTTTCTGTAGTTTTCTACTCTCTAGAAGCTTCCCCATTGCAAACTCTTAGTGTATTTATGTTTAGCGTGCATAAACAAAAAGTTGAGTGAAACTGGCGACCAGTATGGATGAAATGATTCCATCAGGAACTCTTAAGTCTTGTTAATTATTTTTAGTTTTATCCCTTGCTGAGAATTCAGGAAAACGACTGTGCGTTTAACAGGAGGGAGTGTATGTAGATACTTTAGATGACTATTTTTTTTTTTATCGGTGAAAAAAGTTAAATTAGACAAATTGAAAAGGACAATATAAAGAACCCAGACTTTAAAATGGCGACGCGTAGGGATGCTGCATACAGGAGACTTGGAGAGTTCTCTGCAACGAATGTGACAACTAACTACTCATTCAGAACAGTTAAGAAACCTTGGCTGGTGCGCGATTTCCTTTCTGGCCTGAAGAAGGGCATCGCCATAAATAGTAAATCCAATTTAACCATATTAACAATCTGAATTTGATAACAATCTGAGTTTGATCTAGCTATGGTGTGGAACACCTGGTTTTCATCCAGGGTCTAAATGGTGAGCCCAAGAAACTGGAGGGTGAAGCTGCCTTGTTGCCTGGTGAAACCACCTCACCACACACCTGGAGGTTCGTGCTGTGGGCCTGGATGCCACACTGGAATGCATAGGCCTGGCCTAGCGGAACCCCTCTGCATCTGAGCTGGGATATGCAGCCCCTCCCCTTGCTGGCTCATATCGAGTCAAGCTGGGCAAGCTCTGAGGCACCTTTAACCTTAGCATTCCAGCAAGTTGCTTCATCAATAGGGGGTTTAGAAAAGTAATGCATTATGGGTGAGAAAAGGTAGGGAATTATGGGGTCTGCTAATACTTGCTGGGCCAACATCTTTGCGACTATGATTTGGTAGACTTTGGTTTATTCATCTGTAACGTAGAGTTAGTGTCATGAGATTACCATAATAATTATATATGAGATAATATTATATGATGTGCCACAGCCATATTTACTCTTTATTGACTGTTGCTATTATTATAATTATTATAGATCTTGGAAGCTGATGTTGTGCCTAAAAGGACAAATATGAACATATCGATAATTGAGCCAGCAAGAGGCACTTTAGAGGCGCTCATGGACAGGCCTGAAGACGGGAATTCAATCCCCAGCTCCCACAAGGTGGCAGGAGAAAACCCACTCCTTGCCCTCCACAGAGGAACACTATGGCACAGCATACCTGCACCCACACATGCAAACACAGATATGAACAAGTAAAGAATTTTGTTCTGGAAGGGAAGCAGTCAATTTTATCTATAACTGGATGCTGTTTCCTTGGGGGATAGGCGGTGATCAGCATCTTCAGAAACTCCCTTGTTCATGTGGCTGATCATAAGGAAGAAGCTCAGGAGTGGATGCTTACCTCAGAATCATCATTTCTAGAAGCAGTTTTTGATCTGGTCATTAGTGGAATCTCTATGGGAATTAGTGTTCCCATGTGTGATATACACAAGCATCATGTATTACAATGGCATTTATCATTTATGGACATTATTTATGGACAATAATGAGCATATCAGTCATGCTGATATGTACATTATGTTCTGTTTGGCTTACTCTTCCCAGTGGATGGCATTGACTAAGTTCTTAGGACTTCTGGAATTAAACCTAAAACTTTCTATGTATATGAATTCCTTATTTTATTTTATTTATTTATTTTATTAATTATGCTTTATTCACTTTATATCCCCCATAAACACCTCCCTCCTCCCCTTCCAGTCCCACCTTCCTTCTCCCTTCTTCACACATATCTCTCCCCAAGTCCACTGAGAGGCAAGGTCTTCCTCTCCTTCCTTCTGATCCTAGTCTATCAGGTCTCATCAGGAGTGGCTGCATTGTCTTCCTCTGTGGCCTGGTAAGGCTGCTCCCCTCTTAGGGGGAGGTGATCAAAGATTAGGCCAATCAGTTCATGTCGGAGACAGTCTCTGTTCCCATTACTGTCGAAGCCACTTTGACACTGAACTGTCATGGGCTACATCTGTGCAGGGGTTCTAGGTTATCTCCACGCATGGTCCTTGGTCGGAGTATCAGTCTCAGAAAAGACCCCTGTGCCCAGACTTTTTGGTTCTGTTGCTCTCCTTGTGGTGCTTCTGTCCCTCCAGGTCTTTCTATCCCCCCCCCTTCTTTCATAAGATTCCCTGTACTGCCCAGAGGTTGGCCATAAGTCTCAGCATCTGCCTTGATACCCTGCAGGGTAGAAACTTTCAGAGGCCCTCTGTGGCAGGCTCCTGTCCTGTTCCCTGTTTTCTCCTTCTTCTGATGTCCATCCTCTTTGCCTTTCTGAATGGGGGTTGAGCATTTTAACTGGCATCCTCCTTGATTAGTTTCTTTAGGTGTAATAAAGTTCTTTTTTTTTTTTTCACCTTTCAGGGAAATTTTGGAGCTTTCATCAGGCCCTCAAAGGGATCCATGATGAAAAAAGTTTAGAAACCACAAGTGTTTGAGTTTCCTAAGTAAGTGTGAATTACACATACTTTACTTAGATGGGTGAATCATTATCAGTAATTTTACCTCTTGATACTTGGCATGAAGGTAGAGGACAGACATCTATCACCTCATTGATTCATCTCTCCATTCGCTCAATCTTTTAGCATGGACACAGGGAACCTACTATGAGTGCCTAGGCAATACACTCGTAAGTGAGAATGCACGCCTTAAGAAGTAGTAGAGTCGACCTCAGCAGCATCAGTTTTGTCTAATTCGTGTGTTAGCAGAGGAAGGTAAATGGAGTGCTATGGAAGCTTGAGTAAGAGGCAGTGATGCCTGACCGTGATTACAGGAGGCTTTTCAGAAAGTATTGATACCTATGTGCATGCCAAGGAAAGAGAAGTGGCAAAGTGCATCTTTGAATACAGGGGTTGGATGGAGGTGTGTCTCAGGACAGCATTTCCTTGGAGACTGGCAAGGTGTCTGGCCACCTGTGATAGGAGCTGGCCTGGACACAGTGTCAGGAAACAGAGCTAGAAAAGCAGGGTGGGATTCTAGAGCCCGAGGAATGCATCAGATGACAGTCTTGTAAATTTTGGGGTCTTTTTTATGGTGATTGCACTGTGGTTTGCTTCTGTTTGTTTTCTGGGTGCCTTGGATGTCTCCTTTATCATTTCTAATTCTTGCTTCCAGAGAAGTGGTTCCAAGTGCAAAAGAATAAAACAATAACTGTCAGAGGAAAATAAAAAGATACCTCTGCTCAATATTTCATTTTCCAAATGGAGAAGGGATCACCCGTACAGGATTTGCAGTTTACTATTTCAGTGGCTTATCCTGAGGGCGACTGTTGATGGGCTGATAGGGGATGGCGCACAGAAAATGTCTTACAAACTGCATGGAGCATGACTGAACTGAAAAATATACAAATAGCTGATCGTTAGCTTTAGGCTGTAATACAGCCGGAGCAAACTTTGTTAGTGTACTGCCTCCTCAGTAACCTGTCCTTAGAGATGTAATTTTTAAAATTTTATTTGAACACACGAAGGCCTCATCAACTCCCATTGGAGGAGGTTATGAATCAACCTTGCTATATAACAGGCTTTGTTCTAGAGCGAAAAGTGTTCGATTATATAAGGACATATAACTATACATGTGCCTCTGAGGTGTCGTTATATGTTTTCACTCAGCAGGGAGACCATTTAAAATCCTGAAAACTTGAAATGACAAGTAATCAAGTAAATGGGCCTAGATTCTGAGCACTCCGGTGGCCCCAGGCAGTTATCGCGTGGCTCAGAAAGCTCATAAAGATAAGTGATTTCACTGTGATCACACGCCATTGCTTGAAAACAGCCTTCCCTGCATAGGTATTTTTCACACGGACAGCTTTGTGCATCAGCTATTTTTGTTTTCGTTTCAAGGCCATTTCAAAAACGATTTATTTATCTGGATTTTACCTTGTTGTAGAAAAAACTACTTTGATAGCCAGACCCAGTAGTCAGAATGGGAGAATAAGATGAGGAATACATTTTTCTTTCTACCTTATTTTCCTCTCCCACCACTCCTTATTTCTCATGTGCAGCCAGAGAGCAGTTTCATTTGATGTATATCTCAAACTAATAAAATCCCTTATTACTATCATTTTTTTTTCTTTTAGCTGGAATTGCGTTTCCAGAACCATCAGCTGGCCCGAACTTTACTGGATTTAAACATGAAAATGCAGCAGCTGAAGAAGCAGCAGGACATGGAGCATGCATCCAAATCCCAGAGCCCGCAAGAGGAGCCGATGAATCCCGAGTACGGAAACGTGTAACCGAAAGTCTAAGCTCGCAACTCCTGAGCAGTTCCGAGCACTCCCTGCAACATAGGCGACTCTGAAACCGTGCTAGCATTAACACTAGTGATGCTGCAGGTGCGCTCTGAGGGACGACTCGTCCGGCGAAAGCAGGTGTAAGGAGGAAGTGGGGGGAAAAGGAATCAAAGGAAGAGAAACATTTTTCTTTTGAAGTTTTAAAAATTCTTTGGCTTGACTGGTTATTGTCTTAGAGGGAGGAAGGGAAAAAGGGTGAGGAGAAAAGAGGAGGAAGAAGAAAACCCAAAGCATTGAAAGACTGCCTTAATGCCAGCTTAAACCGTTGCATATTCCCTTCCTTTTTGTAGTATCATGTGAACTTGCATAATCTGTGCTTATTTTTACTGTATTTATTTTTGGTTGATCCAGTAGCCTATCCAGTACTTGTGAAATTGAGAATTGCTTGTGTCTGGATTCCAGCCAAGCTCTTGATGTGGCCTGCATTCAGGGTGTCTGACCTTCTTGCTGGATATGGTCATGGAGTCCAGGCCTTGCCGTCGTTGAAACGTGAAGTGCTACTTATTCTTCTCACAAAATTTTTTGCTTCAGTTGATTAAAGTTTGAATTTCATGATTTACACTCCTAAATAATACAGTTCTTTTGCTCAATTAACTTAGGAGTTAAAATGATTCTTATCGTTGAATTAAAAGCTCTAATTGTACCCTACAAGTGCTTTTCAATGCAAAAATAAAATTAATAAAAATAGTTGCAGATCTAATTGGTGTTCCTAATGCTTATTATCTTTGAAATTATGACAATGTGTTTAATTTTAATTAAAATTAAAGTCAGTTCTTAAGACAAAAGTTAACAGAAAGGAGGTAGTCTGCAGCATTGCTTAGCCTGTGTGAATCCCTGGGTTCAAGCTCCAGCATCCAAAAATAATTTAAAAAGAAGAAGAAAGAAGAGAAACTTGGGTGTAAGGATTAAAGAACTGTCTGGATCAAGTCTAGTTTGATTTTTAACTCTTTTTGCCAATAAGTAAACTATTCTAGCACCTTGGTAAGTAATCTCCTTTCTCTATGACACTGGGAATTAATTAATCATTGTAGACATTGTTGATTTAGTAGTAGGCAGTGCCCTGACATCTGGACCCTGGATTTCTTGAAAATCTCAAATGAGCTCTTGGCTTTGTGCGCTGTGATGCAGGATGTGTGGCTGCTTGTTTATTGTTCCTCTGTGTGAGTACCTAGGGTAGAGGAATTTCAATATACCAACATGGCTTCCCTGGCAAGGGCTCTTCTAGGTCTATGTGATCCAGTTGTAATGTAGACAAACGCTGGATTAAAATGTTATCTGGCTGGAATACAGACATACCTGTAGTACATACCTTTAATCCCAAGCAATGAAGGTAAGGTTAATTTATAGAAGGAAGCAGCCATGTTTGAAACTGAGGGCCAGACAAAGTGGCAAAAAAAATCAGATAAAAATTTGACAGAATGAGTCAGAGATAGGATATGCTCAGGAAGAGAGAAGGGAAGGAGAGAAGGGAAAGAGAAGGCATTTTTTTTTTTTTTTTTTTTTTTTTACTGAGCGTTTTACTGGGACTGTTTTACACAAACAGGTTGCAGGAAGAGCAAGCTAGACACAGGTGATGACAGAACAAGCAAGAGGATGAGAAGGAACCATAAGATTAAAACATATTCCCAGGATTAGTTTGAGGCCAGGCGGAGCAATTCAGTCAGAAGGGAAGAGAAGCCAGTTTGAATCAGTCAGCTGGGAGAGGAGTTTGGGCCAGGACAACTGAGTTGAACTGGCTAGCAAGAATTCAAAAAGGGCTAGAAAGGTTTGGGAATGGCCCTTAACTCATGCCCTCATTTGAGGAGATAAAAACAATATTTACAGCAGAGGACAGCCTTCAGATATTGGTCCTTCCCTTTTCACCTTATTTGAGAAAGGGTTGTCCTGTTTCCAGTTCCTATCTCCCCCAAAGAATCACACTGAGATGGTAGATGCATATTCGACTCCATCCAGCTTTGCATGAGTGTCTGAGTATGTACGCACACAGGTCATCAAGCTTGGGTTGCAAATGCGCCCATACCCACCCTGCTATCTTCTAAGCCAAGTTTTTACACAAAATTTGAGGAAAGAGTTGGCAATATTACTTGTAAACTCTATTCTTTTTAAAGTTTCAACTTAAGTGCAGGAACAGGCATTCTCAAGTACATGAAGGCTAATGTTTATAAATCACTTGATCTTGTTTTCAGAAGATTAGTCATTCTCTAAGCTTGACTCTTTAAGAGTGCAGGTTGCTGACACTGGTAGTACTCAGTTACATGCTTTGGTTCTATTGGTAATGTATGTTGACATGAAAAGGAAGAAAACCTGACAGAATTTTTCAAAGTCAATGATTGGTACTTACATTGTCAGACAAAAGTGGAAAAAATTCAGTATTTTATCGTCAAGTTTTGCCATAACTTTTTTTCTGTTTTTAGTGGTAAACAATAGGCCACTGTGTCTTTTTAGGGGCTCTAGGTGCAGAAACAGAATAAACTCTTTGTCTCAAGGGTGTCTTATGAAAGTCCTAAGCAGTGGAGCTAGCCTTTGATTTTGGCAGTGCAAGATCAAAATACAATAGGTACCTGACTCATGGAACACTCTCACAACACACCTCTGCTCTAGTTATCACCCACCTTGTTTGATAACAGTAACAGAAGGCACAAGATTGCTTTCCTGCCTTTTCTTCTCAACGATGTGCAGCTGTGCGCTGTTGGCTTGCTGTACCATCCTTCCACAGTGGAGACTCACGGGAAGTCATCAGGAAAACTTTCCTGAGAGATGTGAGGATGGGCCATCTTTTTGGTGCTTAAAAATAAGCTAGGGCAACAGTGTGATGTTTTAAAGATATATGTGACAGAAGCAAGCAAGACTAGTGCCAGCTGGAGGGGAAAATGAGAAAATAATTATAACCCAAATTATGCAGTAGGGAAGGAGTAACCGAAAAGCCGAAGGAAGGAAGATGTTTATAACTAGGGTGGAGAGAGAGGGCCAACAGAAGAGATACTAAAAACGAGTTCATGGGTGAAAATACGGTGCTTCGGGTTTTCAAATGGCCCAGTTTATCACAGTATTAAATTATGGGTTAGGGGATAAAACTGTATTAGCAGGAAATGGTCTTTTACTCAATGCTGCTTGTTTAGCACCCACCGGGTAAAGAGGTGCCAAGTGATTTAAGACAATTAGGAGCTTTGCACAGGTTGTTAGGCATCATATTCCTTTACAGGTGGCCTGCATGAATCACGTTTTGTTTGGCTTGCCAAACTGCTTCTGCTAGAACAGGTGCTGCTGTAGGACCCAGCGTGGGGACCGACGAGTCTGCTGTACAGAACCTCATGAGAGCTGAGCCTGCACTAGTGTAATTACAAGAATCCTCTTTGCCCTGCCCCTTTCTGGCAGGGTCCAGTGCCCAGCAGAGTCATCAAGTCTGTTTATTTACCACTGTAATCACGGCAGACTCCCTCTGGGCCTGGGGCTTGGCACAGTGTTCTCCAGTGCCAGATGCTTTCTCTCTTGCTTTCATGGTTGCTGCTGCTGCCAATGCCTCTTTGCCCATGCTTTTAGTGAAGGTTGGGGTACAAGGAGAAAGGTGGTTAGGTTTAGGGTTGAAGCTGGGCTACCTTGCATAGCTCTGGGTCCTGATTCACCTCAACCAAGTTGGGGTGGGAGCAATAGAACTCCAAGATGGATGAACCCTCAGAGCAGACTGTCCAGGTTCTCTGGATGCTGATGAATGTTGTGGGTTAGGGGCACAACTTCTTTAGGAACTGTAGTGCCACCATCTGTCTCCACTGAGCTCCCTTTAAAAGGGATATGTGCAATGTACAGACAATAATGAAGCTAGCAGTGGTTTCAGCCACCACTCCTGGACTAGCCTTTGTGCCAGGGACTGCGTTTGGATTATCTTATTTAATCCTCACAGTGATTTATAGGACCTGTTTGAAGAACCACCTGACCTTGAATCTTTACATCTTAAATACTCTGTTGACAGTCTTCTCTAAGCCAGTTCTCCAAACATGAGAATAAAGAGTGTGGGGGCATAAAGTGAATAAAAACTGCTACTCTCCAGCCCCTGGATGGACCTGGCACACAGTGCTCATTGCAGTTCAACAGAATTGTCCTAATAACTCCATGCAGTGGAAACAATTGCTTTTCTCATTTTAGAAAATATCTGGGAAGGGATAAAACTTGTCACCGATCATGAAGCTAGCTACTGGGAGCTGTTCAGAAGTATGTCCAGGACTTTGATGAAGAGACTTAAATATGAATAAATAAATTCAATATTATCACAAAAATTACAACAGAAGCATGTTTGGAGTGCTAAGTTTGACTTCACTGAAGGCATCCCTTCAAGGAATTAAGTCTACCTGAATGAAAGTCTTACTTTGTTGTGCCTTATAACCTACATAATCTAGTTGGGAGATTTTGGACAGATCAGTATATATCTGTTTAATATATGTGAGGGAAGGTAGAAATGACCCCTAAAGTATTTCTTTGAATTAGAAACATCTAATTCTCCCTGCTGTGGCTGGACTCAACTGAGATCCGTGTTAGCTACTATTTATCACTACATCTGGCCAGGAAGTGGATCTTGCCAGGTTCAGCTCTTCTTTTGGTCACTGTCCCAGCTGTTGCAGGCTTGATGATGACAGGAATAATTCTGGTCAGTCTTTGACATCCATCAGCTCTTTTCCCAATCTGTAGCTGCATCTGAGGGGAAGTAATGTCTCATTTGAACTTCAGAGGGAGATAAGTACTAAGAACCCTTGCCTGTCTTAGGGGCAGCTTCTTAAGTAGATAATACTAGTTGACTGTAACACATCATGATGTATAGCCCTGTTGTCAGATGGTGGGCATGGAATCCTGCCCCTTCCCCTTGTCTCTTGTACCTCTGGGATTCATTTTGCTTATCTGCCAAATGATAATAACCACAGCTATCTATGGGTTGTTGTGCAGAGCTCATGGATTAATGTCTGCGAAGTGGCTAGAACACTCTCAGAAATCATTATTATAACCTAGAATCCCTGCACAAATGTAGCCCATGGCAGTTCAGGCTCCAAGTGGATCCATAGTAACGGGAACAGGGACTGTCTCTGACTTGAACTAATTGGCCTGCTCTTTGATCACCTCCCCCTGAGGGAACAGCCTTACAAGCCACAGAGGAAGACAATGCAGCCAGTCCTGATGAGACCTAACAGACTAGGGTCAGAAGGAAGGGAAAGAAGACCTCCCCTATCAGTGGACTTGGGGAGGGGCATGTGTGGAGAAAAGGGAGGAAGGGAGGAGTTGGGAGGGGAGGAGGGAGGGAACTACAGGGGGGATACAAAGTAAATAAAGTGTACTTAATAAAAAATAAATAAAAGTAAATAAATCTCAAGTTAATGAAAAAATCATTATTATAACTCTCTACCTACAGGCATTTTACTCGTCATTCTTGGCTAACAGAAGTGACTCCATCGACCGCAGGGCTGAGAATGATATTGTTGGTTTTTCTATCCCCTCTTTCAGTGCATAAGGGATGAGGAATCCAGTCCTGTTCAATAAAACATAAATTTACTGGGAATGATGGTTGGGGAAGGTTCTGAAAATATTCTTTCCTTATAAAGTAGAGATAGGAAGTAAATACTCCTCCTCTTACTCTGTATTTCTTGCCTTACAAACATTGTTACAGGATAGCCAAAAGCTTTTACCTCCTGCTGCCATTCTGTGAC